CTCCAGTCCTTAACAGTTTGAATCATTTTCCTTGCATTTTTAACAGCAGACAGAATATTTTCACCACACATTTGTTCCACACTTTGATTTGTAACATCACTGAATATCTCCCTTAAACAAGTTGCTAAACTGTATGCATCTTGGAAGACATCACTGTGAGCTGCCATTATTATCTCCCATACTGGAACAAAGGTGGTTCCTCTGTCAATTACACTCCAGGTTTTGTTGCTGGTGTCAAGATGTGACTTCCACTGAAAGTGGTCATCAACACTAGCTGGACCACCAGTCTTTTGTACAGACAAGCAAACTTGACTCATGAGGGCTTCATTGTAATTTCTTTGAAGAGCACCTTTCAGCTGTGTAGATGTGGTTGTTACTCCAGTTGAGAAGTTCAGTGAAGGACCTCTATATGCAGCACCAACATACACATTTAGGGCATCTGATGTTAAGCTCTTCGCCTCTGAAAGCTCACTAGTTTTAACGCCTTCAGCAGATGCTCTCCACCAGAATACTCCCCCAAAATGTATAGGGCCCTGATTCACATGTGAGCCAAATCTTTTAAAAAAATTTACAACTCTGCGTGTGAGCACTTCTTTATCATTTGAATTTAAAAGGATTGTTTCAATTGATTTTAGTTCCTGAATGGCTCCATCAAGCAATTTCAATTTCTTTTTGTCTAAGAAGCTGGAAGCCAAAGGCACATAGTTGTACTTTATGCAATATACATGAGACTGTTCACATGACTGTTCATTTGATTTTTCTTGTTCTTGAGACTTTTTCACATTTGTTGTATTTTCAAGGCTGAAGCCCCAAAATCCAACATTCAAGGCACTAGTTAAACTGGAGCCCAGTCTTTCCATGGCCTTTTGAAAAACTGACTCTGACTTGTGGGATGAAAATTCTTTCTGTTCATAAACTACACTCTGCTCAGGTCCAGAAAGTGAGAAAGATTCAGGGATCTCAATCAGCTGCTGTCTCCTATCTAACAGGTCTTCCAAATTCCCGGTTTTGTAGACACCTTGGAGACACAAACCTCCAGATGCACTTTTCAGAACACCCTCATCAGAAATGTTCTCTAGTGAGAATGAGGAGCTTTCCAAAACATTGAGTTTACTATAAATATTCTCTATGAGATCTTTCAAATTTTGACATTGAGCCCAACTTTCCTTTGGGACATCCAATGCTACTCGGATCCGATCCTCAGCATCTTTCACCATAGGATCATTTTGATCTTTGTCTTCCTTTAACAAGTTCTTAAGCTCATCTAGAGTTTTCATCAGATTCTTCTGTCTCTCCTCAAATGATTCCTTTCTCTCCTGTTCTGTCCCACTTTGAATTTCTTGAGATGACTCCATTATCCTTTATTCAACAAATACTCTGATTTCTTGTTTTACAAATCAACAGTATGTGTTACTCGAGTTAAACACCTTAATTTATCTTCATAGTGAGCTTTCAAGTGAAAAAAACAATCCAAGGTTTCACTTCAAGGTGTATAAATTTTGGTGTCAATTCTTCCTTTTGCAGCCTGAAAAATAAAGAAATAAAATAATTTCAGTCCACAAAGATTCTGCCGTATTTCTGCTATGAAAAATAATGAGAACCGGTGGATTGCAAACCACCCTGACTGACACACCAGCACTACAGGGAAGAGAATAAAGGTTAAATATATATTTAAATATTATCTGTCTAAATAATCTTTATTGAAATCTTTTTTATTTTTAACTGATTTCGATAAATACAAGCAGTGCCTCCTGCAGAAGATAGGAAGCAGGTACAAGGAAAGTTTGGTGATAATATTTTCCCTGCATTTTTTTCATAAGAGCCACATAATAGCTACATGTTTCAGAACTATTCTAAATAGCATCTGCTACTGCTAATGCGCCTAAAATATGACTGTCGCCCATAAGTGCAGAAATCAGATTCGTTTAATCTCAGCTTCACCACCAGCATCTTTATTGCTAATGTTGTGTCATTTTTTTAAAAAAATTCTCTTACTTTTCTTTCAGCGAAAAACCAGCTCAAGTGGCCTGAAACACTGATACCACATAGTGAGCAGTTTAAATTGTTGCGTTTTCTCTGAACAAAAGCTAATAAAGGATAATGATGTACTTGAAGGACACCAATGAAAAAGCCAGAATCCAAGTAAACCGGGCCATCGTACCTTCAAATTTGGAGAGTGAGGAAGAGGACATACTGTGACAGATAAGAATTCCTGCAAGAAAGAGGAGAGAATTAGATACTGATAAATTCTATACTGCTTGAAAACAGAGCATATCATTGGATCACATTACAGTTTGTGCTTCAATGCCCAATACTGCTTCGGGGTTATCTTGCATATTTGCCAGTTCTAGTACATAATAATGAATATCTTAGTGGATTTGTATGTATTGTAGATGATTTAATGTTACCTAAAGAGTTTTTAATGTTGCCTAAAGAATTTTCCTAACTAGATGAAGATGATGATGAACGGCCAGCTCCAAAGAATTCAAAGATTGGGATAGAAAAATGATAATACTTCATAAACTCCGTCATCACAAAAGATCATAATCATTGTACAAATTCTACAAAAAATGTTATAAAACATTAAACATTTTTCTTCTTTTTGTTACAAAAAAGCATTAAGTTTGTGGTTAAAGTGTGCCATGATGCTAATACCAACATACAGAGCGCTCGTCAGATGCTCCAAACCGGTCCTGAGACAGGTGAGAACCTGGTCTGCAGGAGCTGTCTCTGCTCTCAGGACTGTTTTGAGCACAATGACTGGATCATGTTCAGGGAGGCTGCAACAAATGGCGACAACACCAATTTGGAGGAGTACACATCATCTGTGACCAGCTACATCACCAAATGCATTGACAATGTCACTATCTCCAAGACGATCACACCACACTCCAATCAGAAGCTGTGGATGACTGCAGAGGTGCGCGAGCTGCTAAAAACTCGAGGCTCCGCCTTCAGAGCAGGTGACAAGGCAGCCCTGAGAACAGCAAAATCCAAACTGTCTCAAGCCATCAGAGCAGCAAAGCCTGTATATGGCCAGAGAATACACATTAATTTCCAGGACAGTGGCAACACGCGGTGCATGTGGCAGGGCATCCAGGCCATCACCAACTACAGGACGACAACACCTGCCTGTGATAGTGATACCTCCCTACCAGATGCGCTGAACAACTTCTATTCAAGGTGTAAAGGACCGCAATTGTCCTTGTATGTTTTTTTTGTCATTTTGTTTTGGTAAAAGGATATAAACATGTCTAATTCATTTTCTAATTTATTCACGAATATTTTTTATTTTGTATGTGCTTTAGTGTGGTTTGTGTATGAATTTATGAATGAATTTTGAGTGTACCTGCACTATTGAATTTTGTCCTGTGGGTGACACCGTAGTTTGCATAAAGCGGAGGTCTTTTTAAAAGTAGCCTGCAGGCGTAAATGTGGGGGAAGCTGCTTTGGTTGTGCTTAAGCCGCATGAGTTT